AATTAGTTATAGAAATAACAAAACTTGGAAAAATTAACACGATTCAAATGAACTTGTGCTAATTTGTCTTAAAAACTTGTAACTACGAGCATTTTGATGAATTTCGCCTAAATCGACTTAAAATCCTTTAATATTGATGTTTTCAGTACAAAATTGTTGAAAATACTTTTCGTTAAAAAAAAGTGCAGTTCCTCGAGGCTTCGTTCTTGGTCTCATGCGTACATCTTCTAAGCAGAAATCGTTTCTTCCGAGAAGAGATTTATTAATTGTTAGAGATTAAGAGAATTCCTGAAATAAAATACGAGAGATATAGAGAGGCTGAGAAAAATGAAATGAACTAAACCAATTATTTTTCTCGGCTCTGAATTTTAACGAAGGCGCGCAATAACGAATAAAGCAATTAACCTTGTTGGTTGCGGTTTCCACCTCCTTCTCCTTCTCCGCACCGGCACGAATACAATTAATTCCTCCGCAACATCAAAAAACAATTGCATTATTAAGCAAAGAGAACAAGAAAGCAAAAACACGTATAAAATTCCGCATTCCTGTTTTTTTTTAAATTTTATTTTTATGGTGGTATGTGGGTTTTTGATGTTTGGCTTTTTCTGTGTGTTTGTTTGCAGGAATATTCGTTGTGTCCTGCTGAAACTGGGGACGAAATTTAATTTATGAAAACAAAAATTTGTACAAACGACAAAAATTAAACAACAAAAAATGACAGATTCCGTTGTTTTTGATGCTCGAAAAGGATGTTTTTTGTGATTTCGTAGCCAAATCTTGTTTCTGCTTTAGTTTTTTTATTTGAATGTCGAAATTTATCCATTTTTTTCCTTCCTATTGGATTTTGTAATAAAGGCGACCATAGGATGTACAGGCATGCAATTCTATAAAAGTTTGACAGTAATTTGATAGATGTCACTTTCGCAATAAGTTAATTGTTGTTACGCCATCTCTCGTATTGTTCTGGAAACTTTCTCGTATAACTGCGACGATGAAAATTTGAATACTAAAACGGTTCGCGAAATAAATTACGAAGTCAGAGGAGGAAAGTTTGAGCGAAATGTAATGAAATAAATACGAGCTTTTAAATACCCTAAGGCCAATTAGGGATCGTATGTTTTATTCATGGGCGTTCCGTTCCCCTTGACGCTGCTCTTTTTTCTCCCATCAAAGATGAAGGTATTATGTATTACTTTTGGTTTTTATTATTTTCGAAATACAAAAAAATAAAAACAGACCATAAATTTCCATAACTGTTGATATGCGACTGAGGGTGGACGAGGCGCGGTTTCCGGCGGCGCCGCAACTTCGCTAATTACTTTCCCACCCGGTCATATTTTCCAATTAATTGGCTTTTCATTAAAACACGTTTCCCGGAGTAATGTGAATACACACTCCGAACGACACCTTGTTAGGTAATTATTTGATGCAGAGGATAAATAGTTACGCAATGTATCCCCTATTTTCTTTTGTTTTTTTTCCGCCCCCTTAACCAATCACAACAAAGAAGAAAAACGGCCGATGACAAGCCATCAATTTACCCTTGGAAAACAATGGCTTCGACAAAGTACCGCCCTTCTATCTGAAACAAACGACTGTTCGAGTGGATATACAGGGTGGATCATTCATTTTCTTTAGATAGAAATAAGTTTTTGCTCATTACCCGCAGAATTCACTGGGGTAATTTACCCTGTAAGTTTAGAATTGATTGTTCCACCCTGTATATATAAATGTACACATATTTCCAAAGCCTCGCTCGACAAAAAAAAAAAATAAATGAATAGTGAAACAAAAAAAAAATAAATTACCCCTCTTCGAAAAGAGGACATATCGTCGAGTGGACCTAAAGTGAGCAGACAGGTAGTTACGCGCACAAAAGGGCCGGATGGATGGGATTTTTGGAATCGCGTTGATTCATTGTCTCATCTTCTTTTATTTTTTTTGCTTCTCAACGTCCAAATTGAAACGCTATTATTATATGAAAAACGATTAAATTTTTTAAAGGAAAAGTATTAATCTAATGGTGAAGCAATAATTAGGCTACGAATCACATATTGTTGTTGTTTTACGATCGCTTTTACGCGGACTTCATGTGTAAACTACTTTATCAGCAGAAAACGTGGACATATATAACCACAATATCAAACGTGCTTATGTAACGGTTTTGTTTCATTTTCTGTAATGATAATTTGTGACTTGCAGATTTTACACGTATAATTTTTTCCTAATTGAAATTTATAATTATATTAAGATTTGAATGTTTACTTAAGTTAAGTAACAAAAATCTATTTAAATTTACTGAATTATTTGAAGAAAAAAAGCACTTAAATAACCAAAAAGATTAGATTATTCTAAGTGTGTAATGAAACATATTAAAGTGGATATAAATAAAATGTGATTAATCTGAACTGAGAAACCTCAGCAAAATGATAAAGAATACTTGCGGTTCTTTTTAATCAGTTTTAAGTGTTTGATCAACTTTTGAAAACCAAACATTTTACTATACACATTGCTGAATTTATGGTATTTTTTTTGTATCAAAATCTTAAAGCAATCCAGAATGTGCACAAAAATCAAAGTATTTTCGTTTCATTCAAATCTTTACAAAATATTTGAAATAATCAAATTTAAACTGGAAAATGTAAATCTGTTTATTCCTAATGAGTATAGGATAATGTTAATCCAAAGAAGGAGATGCAAGTGAAGAAAACACGTTTAATCAGAATAATAATCATCGAGAAAAAAAAGTGAATCTTCGAGCATATTTTATTCTTAATTTAAATTTAAATCACGACTCGGAGAAGAAGCGCGTTGCATTCCGTTGTTAGTTGAAGTAGAGAATGAAAAAAGGAAAGGAAAAGCAAAAACACAGAGAGAAGAAGGCAATTACTGCTTTGTTTATAAGCTCCATCTCCGTCTTCATTCCGCTAAGCTGCAATTATTAAGTAAATTGCCTTATTTTTTTGTTTTGCTCTCGTTCGTGCAATACTTCTGTTTTTGTATTCCTTTATGTTCTCAGACCACGCACTTTTATTCATAAAGCTTTGTTTTTTCTTTCTTTAATTAACCGATAAATAGTCTTTGAAGCTATTCTCTTTCTTTACGTGTATACGAACCCAACCTACGCCTTCTCTCGTAATACTTTTTTATAAAAGGAGAAGTAATAAAGTGAAGGTCTGGTTGTGTTGCTGAGGGATGGTAGAGAAGTGGAGGAGGAAAAAATAATGCTATCCACGCTTCTTTTCCAGTTCCAGTCTCTCACTCTGCATGTGCGTAAACTTCCAACGAAGTCGCATTCCTCGATGTCGCGAAATCGCTGAGATTCCTACAGGCTACAATCAAGATGTTGCATAATCAGGTTCTTCGACGCGAATCGATCTTTTGTTCGGTTTCAATTTCCTCTTCTCCGATGATTTTGCACAAAGAAATGATGATATTTATATACATAATTGGAATCTTCAGTAATTTAATTAATAAATAAGTTCAATAATGAAGTTTCAGTTATTAATTTCTTAACAATTCGTATAAATTTAGTGATTGTTTTGTAAATTTCAAATTCGTAAATGTTTTAGGAATAATCTTCAATATTCAATTAAAAAATTAAATTTATATAAGGATGAAGGATAGGGCGGATATATCCGCCGCTCCTTCGTGATGGGATAAAAATGCGAATTTTTCTATAAATTAAATAAATTTTCATTAAATCAGTTTAATTCATGTACTTTGTAGATAATAAATATTTGCGAATATATAAGTTCAATAATGAACTTTCAGTTATTAATTTCTTAACAATTCCTATAAATTCACTGATTGTTTTATAAATTCCAAATTCGTTAATGTTTTAGGAACAATCTTCAAAATTCAATTAAAAAATTTAATTTATATAAGGGTGTAGGATAGGGCGGATATATCCGCCGCTCCTTCGTGATGGGTTAAAAATGCGGATTTTTCTAAAAATTAAATAAATTTTCATTAAATTAGTATAATTCATGTACTTTGTAGATCATAAATATTTGCGAATTGAAAATATTTCTATGAAATAACGAAATTTTCATGCTTAGAAACTAATGGAAAATATAGAAAATACAATCTTTAAATTAATGAAATATTAACAATATAATAAATTCGCACTAATCGAAACCGCACTATGCGAATACAGTTGTATTTACGAATTGAAATCAAAATATATTTTTCGAAAATTATTTTTACGGAAGCAACAAATAATATTAATAAATCTGGCGTCGCGTAAAAATCTGATCGGATTCCATTTGAAGTTATTAAATTTTATTTTTGCTCGGAAGGATTCGCTCTTCGCAGACGAATAAATCTCTGGGAGTGGAAGAAGTCGCGTGTTCTCTGCTGCTCCAGTTTTATTGCTGATTGAAATTAAGGAAGTTATGGGTCGGAAGAGCAGAAAAAAAGAAGAAAATTGAGAGACGAAAAGAACGAAATCCAATAAATTTTAACTTAAGGAAGAAAATACCAATGGAAAAACGAATTAAATCCATTAGAGGCGTCGCGTGTTTCTCCAAAATGATTCAATTTCAGTGACAAATTACAGTTTGATATTTTATTATGAAAAAAAGATATTAATTCTTGAAAACTTTAGATTTAATTTCTTTTCAGTTTTTGATGATAATAATTAAATAAGTCAATACTGATGATAGATTTGTCAAAAATAGCAAAAAGTTAATTAATGTTAATATAATTTGAAAGAGATTTTTTTTTGTAAAAGACAATTAAACGTGGATTTTCAATTAAATTCCGAGTAATTGAGTACGTAAATATATTTGTTTTCGTTGTTGTGTAAAGGGTAGACTTATTTACGTCTGAGATGAGAAGTTCTGAAGAGACAAAGGAAAAATTAGGCTCCGAACGAAATCAAGACTTCATCTGCGAAACACCCCCCCTGAAGACAATGCGCCCTATTGTTCCTCCCTTATTTTCTACGATTCGCATCGCATTACATACATCTTCACATTTGGCTTTTCTTTTTGCAGCGGACAGTTTCCTTGGAGGAGACGCGGCACCGAAAGTCTCAGCTCTTCTCCCGGTTTGCGCAGGAGGACACCGACGGAGACATCGCAGACGGCCCCTGTTACGGTGAGTCCTCTGTTTTTTTTTTCTTCACCCCATTGTTTCCCACGGCCATCTTCAATTATCTCAATTGTATGAGCAGATAAAGAAACGAAGGACTTTCAATTAGTCAGAATCGATGATGATTTTCTTTTTGTTGAATTGAAAATTTTCATTGGTGGAAACGCGAAAATAATAACGCTTGTCACTTGCATTTTATCGGCGGTTTTCATTACGCAAACAAAGAGTGAACTACGAACAAAAAAAATATATTCAATTTGTTTAAAATCACTACTTTTATGCAAACAATTGAAAGTTATTTCTAAATGACAATTGGGATTTATAACTAATTCACATACTTCTTCGTAATACTGCAGATGGCAGCATATAAGGGTGAAGGATAGGGCGGATATATCCGCCGCTCCTTAGTGATGGGTGAAAAATGCGGATTTTTCTATAAATTAAATAAATTTTCATTAAATTAGTTTAATTCATGTACTTTGTAGATAATAAATATTTGCGAATTGAAAATGTTTCTATGAATTAACGAAATTTTCCTTCAAAAAAAAGCTTAGAAACTAATGAAAAATATAGAAAATACAATATTTAAATTAATGAAATATTAACAATATAATAAATTCGCACTAATCGAAACCGCACTATACTACAGATGGCAGCACTATGCATTTCTTAACGCTTTCATTAACTAATCACGATGATGAATGAATTAAAAAAAAAACAACTAAAATTAAAAGTGAAACCAATGAATTAATAAAATGACATCTGCTAACAATGTTTTTGAGTTTGTAATTCGGCTCTATAACAACGTTAAATGGGGTATATCGACTGATATTCGGGAGGAACACGGGTGTTCGTTGTCGGCAAAGGACGTTAAACGAAGCGTGAAATCCGTGCGATCCGTTACGGTATTAAAACGTGTTGAAGCCAATTAAATTGTCTGAAAGTGTTCGATCATTAATCACATTTCAGTTTTCTCTCTTCTCATTATCCAGACAACTTCTCCTCCCCCATCCACATATATATTTTTTTTTATTTATCCGTTAATCCGTTAATTTAGTTTCCTCGTTATATAATGCATGCATCTTTTCACATCCAACACTTCTCTATAGGGAGAAGCAGCGTTTTTAATTTCGTTTTTTTTTTGTACATTTCTTCTTTCACTTTTCTCACTCAAGTATTATAAAAAAAATGAACTTTGTTGTTACTTTGTTCTAGTTTTCTAAGGAAGTCTTGTTATGATTTCTATAGTATTCATGATTAATTACTACTTCCTTAAACTGTGTGATTGATGTGTCTTTAATTATATAGAGTTTTTGTAAAATTCAACAGTTTGTTCATTTAATTTATAATGTTATTGATTTTTTTAACAAAGTTTGAGGTTCTTTATTAAGTTGATGGTTTAATGTGCTGAATCGTAATTAGGAAAGGATAAGTCACTGGTTTTGGGATGTTAAACGAGGCATGAAATCCGGCGATTCGTGTTCGATTTTCTTTGCAATTTGATATCTACGGAGGCGCGAAACACCGAAGGGCTGAATGTCGTTTGCGACTCAGTAACACTACTACGTGTTATTTGCAGTCGGAGGTGTCTATACCACACGTAATCCCGACTGCGGATGATGATTTAAGCATTATTATGTGTTTACACGTAGATACGCAAATACACGTACATCCGGCGAGCATCGTCGTCGTGTATCTTAGTAGTTTCAGGTAGATTCAAATTTAATTAGGCGCATTCTGAAGCCGAAAAGCGTTCATCTATATGACGTTGATTAGAGAACGACGGTCTACGTCTAATTACCGAATCATGTTCGATGCAGAAGAGAGTGTGCAAGTATCTGAAATGAAACGGTAATTAGCTTGCATTTACACCGTTTTGTTTGAACTTGAAACAAAAATAGTCCTTGCATTTTATCGTGAATTACTCATGAATCTCACATGACTGTTATACAATTGTGTATGCGAATTGAAGGTAAATGTTTAGAGAATAACATGTGCTGAAGTAATGAAAATTTTACCCACGAAAAAGCAAATTTTTCGTGAACCATACTCGATTGATATATGTAAACTAAAGTTAATTATTCAGTAATTAAAATAAGTATATGCTCGTAATTGTAAATATTCTGTAATAAGTTTTTAAATTTGATCTAATGAAGAAAGTGCAGTGTCTTTACTTTTTATCAAATTACTCGTAAACCACATCCGACACATACATGATTAAATATGTAAGTTGAAGATGAATTTTCAAGCAATTAAATAAGTATTGGCTCATAATTATAACTATTGTGGTGTTTCTGTGATACGTTTTTCCAATTTGAACTAAAGAAAAACTTAATTATTTTAATAAACGAGTTTAAGATTCAACTTTCATTAAAAACTATGCGGAATACAATGGTTCCAATGTTATAATTGTGGCTACTCTTGTTATCCTGCAATTCGACGTCAGAAGTTGACCTAATATTGATATTATCATTGAGAAGTATATTTGGTTGCCTATAAATTACAATTACAATTTTAAAAATATGTTTTTTATAGTTATATTAACAATTACACAAATATTTCTATTATATAAGATCAGCGTTTTTCAAGCTACATGTCGCGAAATGATTGCTATCACCATGTGTGGAAACATAAAAACATGATATAAACAGTTTTGAATTACTTATTTTGCAAAATATTGTAATATGTATAAATATTTGCTTAAAAGTTTTAGAACATTATGAGGTATCAAAAGATTTATGCCCAAGTTTACGTCTTTTTTTTTCTATCTCTTTCTCCTATTTATTCCATCGCGCAGGAAATTCGGTAATCTACTGAAAGTCACCACCTAAAAGTATGATTCCATGAAACGATATTTACTTGGGCGTATGCAAAGTTTGGAAAAGTTCTTAATGCCCACGGATAAAGTCGTCCTGCACCCTTATTTTACTACGCTTTTAGAGAGTTTCTCTCTCTTTATCCTTAGTATGAAATCGATGAGAACGACAAAAAGCTTGCGTATACGAATTTAATCTCCTGGGAAGTTAATTTTGTTAACTAAATTAGTTAACTAATGGATCTGCTGTTAGGGTATAGTTTTTAGAGTCAATAGGAGAACGGGTCATGCATCTAGTTAGCTCCAAAATACTCGTATTTGCAACGCTGTGGGGAATAGATACAGATAGATTCGAACATCTGTCCAATCCAATCCAAAGACAAACCCATAAATTTCGATGCATATAATTTAAACGGCATCTGAGCCTGACAGAGACTCCATTTGACCGGACACTGTAATTTGTGTTCATGCCTCCTCCAAAATCACCGAAAGCGCTTATAAACCCGAAGCTTATGAATGTACGCAAAGCACGGACGCCTCTCGCTTCCGTCCAAAACAACAACAACAACAATAAAAAAAAAATCGAGAAGGAGAGAAACCGAAAGGTGTACCTCTACAAAAATGAAAAATAATTTGAAAAACATTCCCCCCCAAAAAAAAGCAACTGTATCCTCACTCACTCACTCTTGGTTTCCAACAATAATTACACATTCCATCGGCGTAGGCCCGATTCGTTTCTTTTTTCCATCCATTCCTTCTTTCCTCCTCCGGTAGTTATTTTCTATTATTCCCAATCACGTATTCGGTGTGTGTACGCTACTTACCCAAATGCATGAGTAATTCGTTCATGTGTATTATTATTATTTTTTCTTCCCTCCTCCGACGTTTCGTTACGGTATCAGGACTGGAAGGATCAGTGAGATTCCGCGAACGGAACGCTGTACATCGTTTTTTTCTTTTCCTCTCGTATCTTTTCTTCCGGCTTTTCCCAAGAGTGTGCTGTGTGTTGGTTTATGTATGTGTGTGTATATCTATATATATAAAGTGCGCTTTTCTCTTGGATTATGTCTTTTGAACATGGTTTTGTATTACTGTGTAAGTAACTCAACTTTTCTTATTTAATCGCAATCGTTTGCATTTCCGACGAAACTTAGATTCCAATTTCGGTGTGCGCGCGAGGAACTCGGCTAGTCCTAGTTTTTCAATTTAACTGACTACCTGTTGATAGGAATCCCCTCGCAAGCATACATTTATCTTTACCATTTATTTCTTCAAAGCTTTGAGGAAAAATATATTAAGAAAAATATCGTTTTCAGAACTTAATTATGTCTAAATGAAATTGGTTGAAGAAAATAATGTTGATTTCATAAATTATTTACAGCGTTTACTTTTGAATTTAATTAGTTAAGTAAATTAAGCAAATTTTCATAAATATGAGATTTATCACATTGATTTCATGAAATATTGATATGATATATTCAAATTTAGGTTAGGTTAATTTGTGTAAAGATAGGTTAGGTTATGGGATAATTTGAATTAGCTTATGAATGGTATTTATCTCAAGTAGGAAGAAATTTTTAGGTTAAGTTCGTTTATTTAAAAAGAAGTTAGG